ATGTTGAGCAACAGAAGACTTCTGTGTTTCCTTTTTTCTAACATATGCCTCATGTTCCTTGACGCGAAATTTTAAGGCTCTCTTAGTTTGGCCAATGTAAATTAAACCACACTGGCAAGGAATCCTATAAATACCCCAGGAATTCATATCCGGAATGGGGTCCTTGAGTATGGAACTCGGAATTTTATTGATGGGAGAATAAACAACCCGAAGTTACATTTCTGCAAAATATGTGCAACTTTTATAGCTAATTGATGGAAAGAAGGGAATGACAATAGAGATTTTTATAATCTCCTAAAACAAGAGTGTGCCTTTTAAGTGTGTTGAGATGAGAATTTTTTAACTGCTTGATTAATAATGTTGGGTGGAAAATCCTCTGTCAATAGCTATTGCTTTTAAATAATTTAGTTTCTTCATCAAGGGCTAGTTTGGAGGAGCAAACTTGAAGAGCACGGAAAACATAGGAATAAAATGAAGCTAACTTTTGTTTAGTCGGATGACATGATTTAAAGTGTGGTGGAAGGCAAACCAATGAAGGTTTACGGTAAACCGTATACTGAAGTTGGATGTGTTACGTGTGACCAGAATGTCGAGAAAACGGAAGAGAATTGCAAGTCTCAAGTTCAAAAGTGAACTGAATAGCAGGATCAATAGAATTCATTGTTGAAAGAACTTTATTTAAATCATCTTATTACCTTCAAACAGAGTAAAAGTATCGTCTACGTAGCAGAAACCATGCCGGGAAGTTTAAAGTTTCAAACAATTTTGATTCATAATAATGCATGTAGATATCAGCCAGGATGGGACTGAGGGGGCTTCCCATGGCTAATCCCTCAGTTTGCTTGTAATATTTATTTTGGAAAACAAAATGTGTTTGTTTCAAACAGAGTTGAGTGAGAGAAATTAGCTCATCAATTTCGATGCAAGAGAAATGAAATTCGCGAAGTCTGGTTTCTAGACATCTTAATGCACCCTCCACTGGGACATTGGTGAATAATGATTTTACATCAAAAGAAACCATGAGTAAATTACTAGGAGAAATGTTTTTAACTTTTTTTACAAACTCTATTGAATTTTTTATGGTGTAAATGTTATTGTCTAATAGAGTTGAAAATCTAGAACTAAAACATAATTTCTTTAAAGGCCGAAGGCAAATTTGGCAAATTTCGCGTCAAGGAACATGAGGCATATGTTAGAAAAAAGGAAACACAGAAGTCTTCTGTTGCTCAACATTGTTGGTCCGAAAACCACACTTTCAGTTTTTCTGCTGCCAAAATTATTCAAAAAACATCTTCCATTGGAGAACTTAATTTTCTAGAGGCATTTCACATTCATAAAAATCTTTCTGTTCTAGTTAACGATCCTAATTCCAATCCAAATTTGCCTTCGGCCTTTAAAGAAATTATGTTTTAGTTCTAGTTTCACCAATAGATGGCGCCACTTGCTTATTCTGGTCCAGGCTTTCTTATCTTATCTAATCATTATTTCCTATCTGGTTCATTTGCGATTTTGCAGCTGAAGATGGTGGTTCGGTAAAACCATCGAAACTAGTCCTGTGAAAATTTGGTAAATATAACGCTGATTTTTGTTGTTTGACTTCTGAATAAGTATTTATTCGGCATGTTATTGTGTCTTAATTATAGAAGCCCCAAACAGGCTTATTTTTTTGCTTTCTTTTTTGCACGTGGTGTGGCCGCCATTTTGTGATTGCATGAGTTTCGGTAAGTACTTTTTGCAATTTTCAAGTTATGTTTATATTTTTGTATATTTGGATATTGTGCTTTGCTTGTCTGATTTCATGAATTTTGCTTACGTTTTGTTTTCTATTAATTTCAGTGAGGGATTTTTCTGCTGTTTTGTGTGTGCTTTATTATTGTTTAGTTAATTTGGTTTGATTTTCTGTATTGTTTATCATGCCTTCATCCGTTAATCGTTTCACTAAATTACGCCTGAAACGGCAAAAATTCCTGAATCATCTTGACTTTTTACTTAAATGTAAATGTAAAAAATTGATCCCAAATTTTATTCAAATCAAATCTAATCAAAAACCTTCGAGTCGCGTTTCAAGAATTCTGTTAAATTGCAAGCTTGCCTTACTTCGGTCCGTCATAAGGGGATACATGTCAACAATTGTCCAAAATTGAACGTGAACTCTATAAGCTTCATCTGGAACTCGCTAAATCATATCCAAAATTCACTGCCCTTGAACAAAAGTCTTGATCTAGAACGGAGAATGCAGTTAACCGTCATAAAAACACCCTTGCAGTTAAATTCGAAAAACTTCTTTTACAATCTTCCAGTTCAAGTAGTTCAAATAATCTTCCCATTGTAAACATCAAGCCAATAGTTAATATTTCTAATGTTAGTCTTTCAGAAGAACAAGAGAGTATTCTAAAATATAATTTTAACTTCTCACAAACCTGTAAACCCTCGATTCAAAGATTTTGGCTCCTATCGAAAAAGCTTTCAAGTTCAGTAAAGTTTCAGATTCACAGAAAGAAATGATTAGGCATCTTATCGCTCATAATGCGAAATTCAATAATAAACCTTTGAAACCAAATCTAACTGCGAGAGAAAGAGCTACATTGCGTGAAATTCATTCTAACCCAGATATTATTATTTCAAAGGCCGACAAAGGTGGCCAGATAGTCATCATGGATAGGAACACTTACATCGATGGTGTCACTAAACTCTTAAACGAAGGACCATATAATCCGATCCCTAAAGATCCTTCACCTTCGGACTTGTCAAAAATAAAAACTGCGATCAAATCTTCGCAAATCATTTCAGGCAACTTAAAACATTCACTTATCCCATCTGTTGCGAATTGTGCCAGATTATATGCTCTTCCCAAAATTCATAAAAGTGGTATTCCTTTCCGCCCTACTGTATCAAATTTATGTACTGCTTCGTATCCATTAGCTAAATATTTAGTTTCTAGATTTCCAACTCTATTAGACAATAACATTTACACCATAAAAAATTCAATAGAGTTTGTAAAAAAAGTTAAAAACATTTCTCCTAGTAATTTACTCATGGTTTCTTTTGATGTAAAATCATTATTCACCAATGTCCCAGTGGAGGGTGCATTAAGATGTCTAGAAACCAGACTTCGCGAATTTCATTTCTCTTGCATCGAAATTGATGAGCTAATTTCTCTCACTCAACTCTGTTTGAAACAAACACATTTTGTTTTCCAAAATAAATATTACAAGCAAACTGACGGATTAGCCATGGGAAGCCCCCTCAGTCCCATCCTGGCTGATATCTACATGCATTATTATGAATCAAAATTGTTTGAAACTTTAAACTTCCCGGCATGGTTCCGCTACGTAGACGATACTTTTACTCTGTTTGAAGGTAATAAAGATGATTTAAATAAAGTTCTTTCAACAATGAATTCTATTGATCCTGCTATTCAGTTCACTTTTGAACTTGAGACTTGCAATTCTCGTTTCTCGACATTTTGGTTACACGTAACACATCCAACTTCAGTACTACGGTTTACCGTAAACCTTCATCGGGTTGCCTTCCACCACACTTTAAATCATGTCATCCGACTAAACAAATGTTAGCTTCATTCTATTCCTATGTTTTCCGTGCTCTTCAAGTCTGCTCCTCCAAACTAGCCTTCGATGAAGAACTAAATTATTTAAAAGCAATAGCTATTGACAGAGGCTTTCCACCCAACATTATTAATCAAGCAGTTAAAAAATTCTCATCTCAACACACTAAAAGGCACACTCTTGTTTTAGGAGATTATAAAAATTCTATTGTCATTCCCTTCTTTCCATCAATTAGCTATAAAGTTGCACATATTTTGCAGAAATTTAACTTTCGGGTTGTTTATTCTCCCATCAATAAAATTCCGAGTTCCATACTCAAGGACCCCATTCCGGATATGAATTCCTGGGGTATTTATAGGATTCCTTGCCAGTGTGGTTTAATTTACATTGGCCAAACTAAGAGAGCCTTAAAATTTCGCGTCAAGGAATATGAGGCATATGTTAGAAAAAAAGGAAACACAGAAGTCTTCTGTTGCTCAACATTGTTGGTCCGAAAACCACACTTTCAGTTTTTCTGCTGCCAAAATTATTGAAAAAACATCTTCCATTGGAGAACTGGATTTTCTAGAGGCATTTCACATTCATAAAAATCTTTCTGATCTAGTTAACGATCCAAATTCCAATCCAAATTTGCCTTCGGCCTTTAAAGAAATTATGTTTTAGTTCTGGTTTCACCAACAGATGGCGCAACTTGCTTATTCTTGTCCAGGCTTTCTTATCTTATCTAATCATTATTTCCTATCTGGTTCATTTGCGGTTTTGCAGCTGAAGATGGTGGTTCGGTAAAACCATCGAAACTAGTCCTGTGAAAATTTGGTAAATATAACGCTGATTTTTGTTGTTTGACTTCTGAATTAGACCTGATATGATTCATCGATAGGTTAATTGCAAATTACGTACTGTAAGAAAGATTCAACATAGACTTTACAATGGGAAACTCTTATTCATTTGCCTAAGAGTTCAGTTATTGCTTCTCAAAGTTTTTATCAGTTTAAATCATTGCAGCATTTCTTGTCAGCAAGGACTTTCATAGTAAACAGGAAGATAAAAAAGATAATAAATGAAGGTAAATCAATGAATACTCTACTGCAATATCAAAAGAATTCTTCAAAACAAAAGACTTGAAAAATTACCTGAAAGATAAGCAGAAGCCATAAAAAATTATGGATATTATATTAATAATTAAATTTTGATAATAATATTTTCTCAAATTTGAAGTTGCTTACCTCAGCTCTGCATTATTTTCAATAATTATATTACGATATTTTGAAGTAAAAATATTTTTTATTCTTTAAAATAATTGTCGGTTTTACTACATCACATAACACTTCAGCATATTTGATTGTGTACTAGAAATCTGAGGCTACAAAGAAGACATTATTATTAAATTTTGAGCAACTTTCTGTAAGGAATAATTTAAAAAAAAAAAATTACCTCCATACACCAGTGTACTTCTTTATCTGACACTAGTATACTAGGATCACATGACGGTGTACTAATACCTAGATTACTAGCTAGTGGTTTAATAACAGCAATGACTACATCTCGGCCCGCAGTTCCTGGTAGAGTATGCAGAACACTCCATCTTTTATCTTCTGCATTCCTAGTTGCTGGAACTGATATCCATTCAGAATACATACTGCATTAAAAATTAAAAAATAATTTTATGATAGAAAATAAATTAAAGAACAAGAGACCATCTGTTTACTGAATGAAAGTATTTATTACACAATTTATAACAGACAAAATATAAACATAGATGATAACGTTATGATCCTACAGCAGACCTTTTTACTTTACTTTCAGAGCTTAATATTGATTATTCTACTCATTATAAAACTGAAATACAAATGTTCTTGAAAGTATTTAAATGTTTCTAAAGAAATGAACTCAAAATAATGGATTTTCATGTTGAAGTCAAATGCTGCTTACGATTTTAATATGCATTCAGCTTTAATTACTATTTGAGTTTTTTATTGCTTAATTTTGAAGCTGGCACAATGCAGAATGACAAATATATGTTTTTCAGAATTTCTTTGACTTTGAGGACATTTCACATGCTAACTAAAATAATAGTCCTCAATCTCAAACTGGACACTTTGAGAATATTTTATATACTTTAAAAAAAAAAAAAAAGTTTGAGTAATATAAAAACTGAAAATTCATTTTCCCCTCATTATGTTAAACATTTACATGTTATAACAGTTACTATGTTGAACATTTACACAATAAGAGCATGGACAAGTGATGCATTAGCTCCTTACAAACTTTATGATAAATTTTACCAATATTGTTAATTGACTTAAGAGTTTTAACTGTATATTCATTCAATGTACGTTTTCCTTTTATAGCACTGAAAATTGTTATTTTGCAAATTAAACTTGCTCTGATTTTGTGTAATAATATTTTTCTTAGATTAAAGGGAAAAGGTGAATATATTATCACATATAAAATTCAATTATATATATTACTAATATTTTACAGCAATTAATTTCAAAACACATATTCTTATTTTAGATGCCCATATCTTTATAAAAAGATAATAAGAGTGATTAAGTTTCCAATAAAAAAATTCTTACAAAACAAATGCCAATGACTTCTTAAGAAAAATCATCCTATTTTAAATTAAATTAGAACTAAAATCTTTAAAAGAAAAAAAAAAAAAAAAACTATTTGGGAATGAAAAACTTAAGAACTCAGATTTTTTTTAATTAACCCCTTATTTGCTGGGTAAAGAATATCTCAGAACAAGTTATGTATTATATCTTTCTACGTACAATTTAGGTTTTACAAAAGTCTCAATTAATTGCATGAATATTTTCTTTAAAATCTTCCTGGCTGCAATTTTACAAATTTGGCACAAATTGTAAATACAGTTTTTAAAAATGAGAAAACTTCAAAATTTTTTTTAAATTAACGATGGATTGTTTTTATTCAGCAAGTTTATGTACAGTCTAATTTTGAAAATTTTGTCTTTTTTACGAAATTCTGTGTTGCTATTTACATAAAAATAAATTTTGATATTTCATATGGTTGTCTTGACATAACATTTCTAATAGCTAAAAATGCTGTATCATTGTTTAAATAGCTATAAATTGTCCCTTGAGATAATGTGTCATAGCTTGCAAGCAAATGGGCAAATATAAAATGAATACTTGGGTGTGCTAATAAATTATTATGCCTGTTATTACTCGAACATAAATATTTGACTGATTAGCTGTCACATGGTGCCATCTTGTGATAAGAGAGGTAATTCTGCTAACCACTGATACGTGATCTTGAAAATGAGATCTGCAGCATATGAATTGCCCTCTATATCTGCAAGCTCAAAGAACACTGTTGGTTTCTGAGATAATATATTAATCTGTTTTTTAGTGAAAAACAGATCAACAGTTTTTTAACTGGCCACTTACAGCATTTGTAACTAGAATTTGTAATTCTGTACTAGAGGACATAACTTGATATTGGCCAAAAGACCACAGAGCAATTTGAGAACATGACTAGTCATCATAATTAAAACAATGCATTGTAAGCATCGTAATGTCATTAATCTTTGCATTGACAGGTTAATGTGAATGGTGAAGTGTAAGCATGCCTCCACTGCAACGGTAAATACTGCTGCATGCTAGTATTATTCATCTCTTTCCACAAGTATGTGGAACTGCACATCCTTACCATATCTGTGGTTATCAATTTGGGGGGACCCAGCTTTGTTCATTTATTGTTGCTGCCTGGTGGCATCATTTTGTAGTGAAGGAGGTAATTGTGACAAGCAGAACCATATTTTGTACATTTAAATTTCAAAGACAGTTTCACAGTTTTCTTTACTTAGGTTTTAGTGCTTCTGTTCACATTTTCCATTATTATATGCCGTTACTTTTACTCGTACAGTACAAAGTCCGAGATCTGATCATCCAACATCCGGAATGATCTAAAATCTGAACCTCAAAACCACCAACAACTTTTCTTTTTGTATCCTTCCCACATGCACATTTGATTTTTCACCCCATAATAAAACACGTGGAGAGAATTTCACTTCAATAAATACCTCATTGCTGAAAAAACAATAATTTAGTATAAATTTGTGTGATCAATAATTTGGCTCCGTAGTCGCATATCTGCTGCGAATACATCTCAAACCGAAACATTCTACAACCCTCATTGATTTTACACTTACTAATATTTTATATCCTTGGCAGCAACCAGGCAAATCATTATTTATTATATTTTGCTTTCATCATCGCATGTTTATGAACACATGACAACTTGAGTAATGACTCGTGCAATGATGCCCAAACATTTTTTTTTTTTTTTTTAGTAATTTAGTAACAAAGTGTATGATAACCTTTTATGTTGACATTACGCTTGGCGATGATTACAGATAATGATAGTTAAATGAGCTAAGACATGCTGACGAGGAAATATTTAACAAGCATTTCTTTCCATATGCTACAAATAGGTTTTGTTAATGATACTCAGGCCAAAAGATTGCATTTAGTGCTATTTGAATCATTGAGCAACAAAATAAAGGAATGAAAAAATTTTGAATTTACGGAAATCAATGGGATCCAAAATTTAGGGATGGTAAAAATTTAGAACTTTGGAAGGCGCTTGGTAGCAGAATTTAGGGCTCACAGAGACTGCCTCAAGCGGTATGATATCTAGCGATGGCCTTTGGTAAGCTTTAAGTATATGTAGGAATTTATTTGTTCAGGACTTAGATAAGCCTTAAGTATGTGGAAAAAAATAGATATAACAAATAATTAAACTAGTAATGCAATTCAGGCTTAATTGTCTCTGCGATAGAAGCAAGACAAAATTTAGCGGAACAACTTGTCTTTCATCGCCAATCTCACGACACATAGCCAATAATGTTCAGCGGACGCTGTTAATCTAGGCTAAAATTATACTTACTGATTCCAAGGAATTTCAGTCAATATAGCAATTTGCGCTATTCCATGACTTTCTGATTTCATTCAGCTTATTATTTTTTGCAGGCTGTTTTTATTATGGCAATTTTATGAAAATTAAAGTTTAATCTTTTGATCAAGTCAGAAAGAGTTTCTAATTCTGGAGCTGCAACAGGATCTACAAAGCGAAAGCCTGTTTCATCCATCAAACAAAGCATGCCCAATAAACAAAAAGTGGAATTGCTACAAAAAATGGATAAAGGTACATCCGTCTCAAAACTGTGAGGGAGTATGGATAGAAAGTCAACTGCATATGACATAAAAAAACAGTAAAGCGAACCTTTTGTATTTTTTGTGGATTCCAAAACCCTACCTGCAATGAAAAACAGAAAAATTACTCGATATGCTAAAAGCGAAGATCATGACAAAGTGATGACTGAATAAGTCAGACAGCATCGCAGCGAGGTCATGTCATTGACGGATCCAATGCTAATGACTCAAGCCAAAATATTTCACTAAGAAATGAACTTAAAAAAATGAGTGCACATATTCAACATGTTGGTTAATCAAATTTAAAAATAGCCATGGAATTTCAGGTGAAAAAACTTCAGCTGATATTGAAGCTGCTGAACTATTTGCAAATGAATTCATTAATAGTGAAAAGTTATATCTACAACAAATTTACAATGCTAATAAAACTGGTCTTTTTTGGCAATATGTACCACAAAATATTTAGGCAACCTCTACAGAAAGGCTCTAACTTGTGTCAAAGATTCCAAAACGAGACTAACAATTTTAGCATGCGCAAACCCTGCAGGAGAGCACAAGTGTAAACATTTCATAATCGGAAAAAATATGCGACCTCGAGCATTTCAAAGGAGTACCGTTATATATTGTTTAAATAAAAGAGCATGGATAACACAAGTGTCAGTGAATGATTGGTTTGAAAATCATTTCATACCCGATGCTCAGCAGAATTCAGTTGGTTTACCTGATGATGCAAAAATTGCCCTGACTGTAGACAGCTGTTCGGCTCATACTTAAAATTTTAGTGAAAGATCATGTATCCATATTATTTTTCCCTCCAAATTATACATCCATCATTCAGCCTATGTATATCAGAATAGTGTATGCTCTGAAATGCAAATATAAAATAGAATTTTTTAAATCCATGTTAAATTTCTTGAATAATGGCAAGACTTTTTTTTTTTTCTTTTAATTTTTTTATTTGAAAACATACAGACTCCCCAATGCACCACAGATGTACAACACGGGGCTTACAGAAGTAAGTTAACTAAAACATTAAAAGTTACTTGCATAAATAAAATGAACATAAGCAGAGAACAGCAGTGTGGACTTCTCTAAAACAAATAAGTTCACTGGCCAAGGTCACTCTGAACATTTTCAAATCATTCTGCAAGCATAATCTAGGGCCATCAAACGTAGGGCATGAGAAAATCAAATGTTCTACAGCCTGAGGTACCCTTTTTGAAAATTCACATAAATTGTTTGATCTTAGATTGTAATGAAACAGGTAACTTGCAAATTTACCGGGACCAGAAAAAACTGAGAAACTTTGGTGACCTCAGCATTACAACATAAAATATATTCCTCATTCCACTTAGCTAAAAAGCTTCTTATAGTGCAAGGACTTTCAATAGCTCTTTGGAATGCTAATGTTGATATCAATGGGTAAATTTAAGGCATCTTTAGCTAAGAAATCAGCTCTTTCATTTCCAGAGAAACCATGATTAGCACGCACATAAGCAAAGCGGATATCAATCCATCTCTTTTTAAGCGAACTGACAGTTAATAGGGTTTCAATAACTAATTTGTTGCAGCTGGTAATACTGTTCAAAAGATGAAGAGAAGAAAGAGAATCAGAACAAATAAAGTACCTTGAGAATTCAAGAATTTTTGAAATATTTTAGCATAAAATCTGCTTGTGAAACATCGCAAGATCATGGGAGGATGTGTCTCCAAATACTTTAAAAATTGCTTGGCATACTTTATGGTCAGCTACCCTATTTCATGGTGGGGATGATGAATATCATAGCCGCGAATGTGAAGGTTTTGCGGATATCACAAACCAAAAGTGAAATTTTGCAATTAATGGATTTTGTAAAGAAATGTAGAGAAGCGGTAATGACTGAAGATGATATAACAGCAGTTCTTCATATCAAGACAATGCCCCAATCATCAATCAATTAACGAACGGTGAAATCTGTAGTGTTGCTCTAGATCCAGAAAATACTGCTACCGATAGTGAAGAAAGTGAGCAAGAGGTTATTGAAAATGAAAAAATTTTGATTGACATGCTAGTCGGAATTCTCAACTCAGCAGTTACAGGACCTGAACAATGGAGCTTTGTAACTGAATAAGAAATTAAGTCTGTCTATAGAATTAACGAGAAAGTTTTAGAACAAAAAAAGCAACTTAAAACAACTTCCATTGAGAGAAATGTTTAATAAAATAAACAAATAAATATTAAGCTTTTCTTTTGTAAATTTTGTTACCCTTTAGATCATAAATGCTTCATTATTTCATAAATCAGGCTTTCACATTTTTGATACTATAATTTCTACATGCCATCTTACCAGATTTCAACCGATGATCTAATATCTGGAAAAATCCTAAATCCGGAATCACCGAAGTCCCAACGAGTCCAGATCTTGGACTTTGTACTGTACATGCGAAAACTTCAAATTGACCAGCTTACTTTTCTATAAATCATTGGTTGTCACTATAAGATCATTATTACCATCTTCTTTATATCTTTTATCAACTTTTTTCATTGCCTCGAAGAGAGAGAATGATAAAATTAGGTTTTCAGCACCACAGGCTTTTCATCAAAGCAAGAATTTTATTTAAAGGTGTTTTTATTTATTTATTTATTATTAATTAGCTAATTTTTATTACAGTTTTATGAAGTAAATGTGTAACTTCCCAATCAAATATTAAAAAATAAAATTTTGTAATTACGTAGTATAAAGTATTATAGCCACATAAGCAAATATTACTGAATAAATGGTATTATTAGAAAAATTATACTGATGTTACAATTAAAATATGCACATTAATTTGAAAATAATCTTTCTGGTTACATTTTTTATTGATTTATTATACTGAACAAAATATTTGGCACTAAATTATTCATGTGGGAAAAATATTAAGAAAGAAATTTGGATGATGTGCACAAATGACATTTTCTACATTGTTTTTTGGACAAAGTTGCAAAACTCCAATACATTAGATCACTGTTTAGAAAAACAACAAAAATCAGGCTACATGAGAATGAAAATCATGTAATGAAAAAAATTAAAACATATATAACAATATTAAACATATGTATCATAATAATAAAGAACAAGGTGCTACCTATGTACATTTAAAAAAAAAGAAAAAGACTTTAAAAAGCACACACACACACACACACACACCAAAAAAAGTGCATTTTCAGTGTTATAAATCTGATAAAAAATCATACTTTAAAACATATATTTCTAATTCAATTATTACACATTGTAAAACTACTAAATGGTAAAAGCTCTAAAATTTTTTAATTTACATGGAATTTTATCAGGTATCATGCACACAAAGCTTTGACAGGAAATGAAATAATATGAAACAAAGTCAAACTTCAGGTTGATAAAGTATATGAAAATGAAATATGTTTAATTTAAAAGTCCTCATATTAGCTAAAGGTTTAATATATTTAATGGAATATTTACATCTTAATCTTTTTTTCCAGAAGAATCCAAACCTAAGTTTCAAGTATCACTATTCATTCATAACTGATGAAAACATTTTCTGCTACCTGTAATGAATGAAAAATATATGATTTATTTAATATTTATATTTGTGGCATTGAAAACTTATTTTTTTTAGTCATTTATTAGAATTAATTTATAAAAATTTTCACATTTCATAAAATCATGATACAAAATGCTAAATAGCTGAAATCCATTAGTCTAGATGTAAAAAGTTATGCATGCTTTTACAACTGATAAGCATATAGAAAGAACTATCATTGTAATCAAATGACTGTCTCCTATGGATATTTAGAATTCACTGAAAAATTTAAATCTGATAACAGGCTAAAATATTTAGAACACTGCACCCAAAAGAGCCATGACTGTTTAACTGGCTGGTACAACTGCTGCACTTAGAAAAACTAAACAAATAATGCTGCTACAAATTGTTTCACTATATAATTTAAATATGCAAAGATTCACAAGATTACCAACCATAAGTATAATTACAAATGAGATTATATGTATGTATCAAAATTTCCAATGATTCTCCTTTTAAACACAATTCTTATCAAATATGAGGAACTCCAAATTTGGAGATAAGATATAAAGTCAATTTATAAATCATAGTAAAAAATTATAATAATCAAATAAGTTCCATATATGGATACAATGCATCAAGAATTTAATATACAAAAATACAGTAGCAGCAGGGCTTAATTTTTAAAAGCAGAAGGGCTAGAGCCCTTTGTACATGCCTTTGGAAGGCATGCACACATATTTCATAAAATGTGTAAATTACATACATATTTATATATTTTATGTAAGTAGGTGCGCCTGCATATACGAACATATATGCATGCACACATGAACACATTCATCCATACATATATTTCTGAATCTGGTACTGATAATAGAAGAGTACTAGGTTAGTCTATATTTTAGGGTACACCTTGGATTATTGCTAAGTTGTTGTTTCATTTTGGGAAACCATATTATAATGTGACTGGTTGTAATGCAGTGAATTTGACTCATGGGAGAATATTTGTAAGGGCTTATTTATGTTTTAGATGTTGGTTAGGAAGTATGTTGCTTTTTTTGTGCTTTACACCATAAAATGCCTGCTGGTAATACGACTAACCTGAAGTTTCTGCACACTTTAAAATGATCAGGAAAGAAAACATTGATCGACTGTTGTATAAATGAGGATTTAAATGACTTATCAACATTATGGAAAGTATGTGGGATGTAATAGAAAGGGATTTTGAAAGAAATGCCATCGAAAGTCTGACAGTACAGAGAATATTTTTCATTTTTACTTTCTGTGAATTTATGTGATGACTGCAGTCTACAGATTCTAGTTTAGATAATTTTAAATAGTTTTTGGATGCTGTTAAGGAATTCTGTGTGTCTCACATACTGAAGAAACAGAAATTTTTAAATACGGTAAGTCAATATTTCCTTTCTGTACTGTGTAGATTAGATAACATGTATTTTCATTCTTATTTCCTTGTTTGATTTAAAATGCAGTTCATTGAGATTATATATTTTTTGTTTTAATTATGTTTTATTGCATTATGTTTTGGATGTCATTTTACTGGGGAGGACACTGGATATAAACAGGAATGGCATAAAAAATCGCCAATTTTCGCCAAGTGGTACCCTGAAATATATTTTTACCGAGTACTAAATAGCAGGTGTCCCAAAATTAACCTCTTTCTCCCTTCTTCGGTCATTGACCCTTTGTCCCGCTCTCCGACTATCACCAAGTCTCTTAGCTATACGCTTGGATTCAATACCTTACCTTACCCGAGGACAGGTTCTCCTTCAACTGTGCCTCACTCTATCAGCTGATCTGTCTCCATAGCAACCATTCACGCTTTTCGCATCCAGGTTGCTCTCTCTTTGTACCTGAGTTACAAGAAGTTGATTCACCACAGGGGGCTAAACGCCTTCCAATTGTGATAAACTCTTGTACTCTCCTCCTGTGTCCTAACAATGAGGACCCTAAGCGACTTTTGACTTTAGCTTAACTGCTCTTTCCTTTACTTTAGCGACTGCTTCTCTCTTATTTATTTCAATTTTATGAACGATGATGTGGAAGTAATTGCAATTAATTGCAAAGGCCTTGGTCTCTTGGTCCCAAAATTAATGCAAGATTTGAATTTGGTGCCATTTTTGCATTCAGTTGTTGGAAACCCTGAAAAAAGAATAGTTTGAAAGCCGAGAGTTTACGGTTAGTGAAAATGGAGCGTTATACGATACAACGTGTCTTCATTATTGAACAATATTTTTTAAATAATGAAAGTTTGGCAGCCGCAGTTCGAAAATTATCTTTATCTTGTTCTTACCGTTCACTGGAACTGCTACATAACTAATTGATCTTTCTCTTCTTAAACTTTCGATTATATCAAAAAGAGTTTACGATTCTGGAGTTGCCAAAGGATCTACAAAGTGAAAGCATGTTTCGAGGTCCATCAAACAAAAGGTGGAATTGCTGCAAAAAATGGATAAAGGCATATCCTTTGCTTCTCTAACCATTCCGAAATCTGTTTATCAATTTCACAAGGGGGGGCGTCGCGGCGCGTAATGAATTGGAAGTTGATCTGTCAGCACTATCCTTATCTTCAGGGCAGATGTTTTTATTTTATTTGGCTTATAATTCCTTACTAAATGTAGTATTTCATCTCTATGTACTACGTCTTTGATATGATTTAAATCAAATTCCTTGTCATTATAATTCACTTCCGATAGTGAAGAGAGTGACACAGCGGTTATTGAAAACGAAAAAATGTTGATTGACAAATTAGTCGGCATTTTCGACACAGCAATTATAGTACTTGAACAGCGGAACTTTGTAACTGAACAAGAAATTATGTCTGTTTACAGAACTAAAGAGAAAATATTATGACATAAAATGAAGCAACTTAAACAAATTACATTGAAAGAAATGTTTAATAAAGTAAACAAATAAATATTAAGCTTTTTTTTTTTTTTTTTGTAAATTTTGATACCCTTTAAATCATAATTGCTCTTTATTTCATAAATTACGTTTCATATTTTTAATTTTATAATTTCTGCATGCCATCTTACTAGATTTAAACTGATGATCTATAATCCGGAAAAAATCGATAATCCGGACACATCTACCTTTATAAATTCTGCATTAATTAAAACATACAAATATGTTTATGTGTTTTGAACATTTGTTTTAAAATCAGTTATTCAGAGTTTTAATTGTGCCAGAACTCACTGGAGCGTGGTTCCAGTACTCCTCAGTTGTTGGTTGGAAAGTCCCGACGAGTCTGGATTAACGACTTTTGACTGTATTTATTTTTAAAAGAAAATTTGTCTACTGAAACTGAGTTTCACTTACATAAAAGTAGTAAAGAAACCCTTTTATTTAGGGCTATGGTGAACTCTGGATAAAATTACGATTTATCTCAGAAACTGAGGAATACTGGAACCACACTCCAGTGAGCTCTGGCACAATTAAAACTCTGAATAACTGATTTTAAAACCAATGTTCAAAACACATAAACATATTTGTATGTTTTAATTAATGCAGAATTTATAAAGGTAGATGCAGGAAATTTACTGCAAAGAAGGTAGATGCAGCGTTTTTCATACTTACATTTCTTTTTAGAAATAGTTTACAAGACTGAAACAAGATACAAATAGAACTATCAGTGCCGCACAGCTAAGATAAAAAGGAAAATAACACAGAAATGAATCTTATCACTATTTATCCTGAAATATTTAAAACAACATTGTTGGAAATAACGAATCTGACACATTCTATCTATAGTAATGACACTGCTTTGAAAACCAATGTCATTTGACAACTAATATAAACTTTTTTTTTTTAAAAAAAAAGGTTTTTTTCCCCCCTTTGAGAAAACACAAAATAAAATAGATATTATATTCTAATATTACCTTCAAATTTAGTTAAATTTCCCAACAGTTTTAAGACTTTTTTCCATCACCTACGACACATGCCGAAACAATTTCTATTTAAATATACATGCATTATTGTCTACGGGCTATGCTAAACTGAATATGTTGTTCGTATCTCGTAACTATATTAGATATAATTAATAGAAATTTTTTATGTAATTTATGTAAGTGTCATTCGATTTTGTTCTTAAGTTTTTTAAATAACTAATCTAATGTTATCTACGAGATATAATTTTTTTTTTATGTTCAGAAAAAGTTTACCACAGTCGAAATAAGCTGATGACGAACGTTTTCTCATAGAAGATTGAAATTAGAGCACATACCTTCCTGCAGAAAATTGTTTAAAAAGAGTTGCTCTCTATCAAAAAGCTCCATTTATAAAAGAAATTTAATTCCTCACAATTATTATTATATATATATTTTCATATGCATGAAATCTGCCTTTTATGTAATTCTAGGAATATGATTCATTGATGCAAAATACATCTTACTAATTACAACTTCATTTATTATTTAACACTAGAACGGTAGTAGGATTTGGACCCCTGAACACTTTTGACTGTTTATTACTTTTGTTTTATTGGAAGAAATCGTTTGGAATTTTTTTACTTTTCCTAAATAGGTAACAAATATTTGTAAAAAAAAATTCAGCATTCTAGATTTGTTAGTTTTTGAAATAATGGCATGTAATCCTAGAACGGCGGAAGGGGTCATTTTGACCCCTATACTTTTATCCCTCTTTCTGCTTGAGGCATTGTCAAATAACCGATGTAAAACATTCACTAATAAGGATTTTTCGATTGCATTCATATTATCTCCCAGAGGGATAAAAATCTGGATGGTCTCACTACTTTGTAATGTCTACATAAGTTGTTCCTTTGTTTGCAATTATCTATTCGTTTGAAGAAAATACTGCAAGGAAGGTAGATGCATGGTTTTTCATACTTACATTTCTTTTTAGAAATAGTTTATTTTACAGATGTATTTTACTTACTGCAGATAACAGTTAGGACAGATGTTTTCTTGGTAATCCCATATCATTTCAGTACATATGAATTCTGCCGTCAAGTTCATTATCACGTTTCCTTTACGCTGTGAGAATCATATGCTAAAATATATTCCCTATCATTTTCTAATAGTCTAATATTTTTCTACTTTTTCAGCTTTTACAAAACATGTCTAATAAGCGAAAAAGAGGTCTTATGGATGAAGAAATTAAAAAATTGTTGCAGGAGCTATCTGAAAATGAGTCTGACTGACGTGAAATTGATAATTATTCTGTAGAAACTGAAGATGAATTCCAGACACAAACTATTAGTGAATCCAAGGACAGTGAAGTAAACGAAGAAGAACTCAGCAGAGATAAACGGACAAAAACGGATCAGGGTATTTGCAAAACTGTTTTTACAGCTTCTGATAACACTATATGGAATGAAATAAATTCCAAAAATTCAGTCTGCAGCCGTGTTCCTGCTTATATTGTTCTAAAAGAAACAGCAGGACTAATATCTTTTGCAAAGAGTCGTGTTTCTGAGGACAAAGTGTCTAGCGATTTCAAGCTTTTTATTGACGATGATATCTTGCTGCATAGTAAGAAATATGCAGAATCCAAAGCTCATCAGCAACTCGGAAATAAAGATTGGAAGTTATCTCTGACTGAGTTAGATGCTTTTGTCGCTGTATTGTATGTTCGAGGAATAATAGGAGCAAAGGGCTTAGATTTGTATTCCTTATGGTCCGTAGCATGGGGAATACCATTTAAAAAAAAAAACTATGGCTAATCTTTGGAATATGGTAACAGATAGTTTGGCAACATTTTGGTAAGGCGATAAAGGTTACTAGCTAGGACTTTAGCAGTCTACATGGATAAAGTCAAGAGTGTGTGCAATGCCATTTTTTTGTGCAATTCTGGGATGTTTTTTTAAGTGAAAATAGGTCGACGTGTACATGGATGATACCTTGCATGTGCAATTCTTAAAAACGCGGCAAGCAGTGGGTGATTCTGCACTTTCTCCCAATTTCGCACCTAATCTTCATCATGATTAAGCATTTTTGCTCCATAAAAGTTCTAAGTTCTAGTATAAGCGTAATTCGGCTAGCAGATTGTTGGAAAAAATTTTGAATAAAAAAAAAAAAAAAAAAAAATGCCTTTATTTCGTGAAAACAAAACTAGCAGGTTGCTGTAGCAGGGTTGGTCGCCAAATTTTTGCCAAAAAACCGCCAAGTTACCATTCCAAAGATTAAACAAAACTATATGAAGAGACAGATTCAAAGAAATAAAACGATTTTTAAGGTTTGATGAAAAGACAACAAGATCTGCTCGATTACAGACTGATAACTTTGCTCTTGCATCAGACATGTGGAACAAATTGCAAAACGTGCTACCAGCCAGGACAAAATATTACAGTTGATGAACAATTATTCCCATCTAAAGCTACATGTAGATTTACACAATACAGTCAAAAGTCGTTAATTCGGACACCCATAATCTGGAATAATCTATAATCCGGACCTCAAAGCTAAAAACTTTCTGCGCATGCGCCGCTTGACACATGAGCATAGGCATTTACGCATACGCGTAAGACTTTACGACTGCGCATATGCGTGTGCACATTTAATGTATAACGGACGGTATAAGCTAAAATTATCTAATTATCTATTTCAGTTAATGTTGATGATTGCGTTGTTCCTTAATCTTCGAACTGGATCCGGCTTATTACTTTTTTCAGACTGTAAGAGCAATTTTATAAAAGTAAACTTGAACTTTCGATTATGTCAAATAGAATTTCCGATGCTGGAGCTCCCAAAGGATCTAGAAAACGAAAGTATGTTTCGATGTCCATCAAACAAAAAGTGGAATTGCTGCAAAAAATGGATACAGACATGAAGAATGTGACAGAGAGGTTAGTGAAAGAAAACAAACATTGAAAAAATTTCGATTGACAAGTTAGTCGGTATTCTCGGCACAGCAATTACGGGACTTGAACAGCGGAACTTTGTAACTGAACAAGAAATTATGTCTGTTTATAGAATTAAAGAGAAAGTATTATCACATAAAACGAAGCAACTTAAACAACTTACCTTGAAAGAAATGTTTAATAAAGTAAACAAATAAATATTAAGCTTTTTTTTTTTTTTTTTTTTTTGTAAATTTTGATACCCTTTAGATCATAATTGTTCTTTATTTCATAAATTATAGTTTCATATTTTTAATTTTAGAATTTCTGCATGCCATCTTACGAGATTTAAACTGATAATCTGGAAAAATCGATAATCCGGAATCGCGGAAGTCCCAACGAGTCCGGATTAACGACTTTTGACTGTATATGTTTAATAAACCTGACAAATTTGGAATAAAATTTTGGTTATCTGTCGACATTAGTACTAAATACCTCTTGAACGGATTTCCTTATCTAAGAAAAGATGAAACAGTAAATCCTCAATTACGTTTGTCTGAAAATGTCATAAAATTAACAGAGCGACATCTAAACAAAGGGAGGAATATTACCACGGATAGCTATTTCATAAGCATTAAATTAGCAGAAATGCTAAAATAAAATTTTTAAAAAAATACAACTATGGTCAGCACAATGAAAAAAAAACAGAAAAGAAATTCCTATATCTTTGAAAAATATGCGTAGTAATCTTTATTCATCGACAATAGTGGAAGATGATAATATCACACTTACCATTTATGAAGGCAAAAGAAACAAAAGCGTTTTTCTACTGAGCTCATTACATTCAACTGTAAAAACTGAAGACAGTCTCAAGAAGTTACCTGATTCAATAGCATTGCACAACGCAACAAAGTACGGCATGGATCTTTGTGATCAAATGTGCCAAAAATATTCAGTTAAATAAGCTTCTAGACGATGGCCTATACATAACTTTTTCAATATTTTGGACGACACAGCTTTGAATGCCTGGATAATTTATAAAAGTGTAACAAGAAACACCATTAACAGGAGAGATTTTCTACTGAAATTAGGAGGAGTTAAGAGTGGTACATATGGCTTTAAAACTCCCAAAGATCCTTCCTAAGTCTTTAGAAAAAACACATGAAAAGAAAATGGCTATAAAGAGAAAAAAGTGTCAAGTACAGAGATGCCATGGAAACAAATTTCAAGAATATTGTGCATCTTACTCCCAAGTTTTGTGGGGAAAATGCACTGGAAAAATTGTTAAAAATTATTTTTGTATCAACTGCATTAATTCTTAATACGTATGTGTAATCTCTAATATTTTGAACATTAAATAGAATTGAAACGAAATTATTGACATATTCCATTCAGCTACACATATAATGATTTAACTGAAACATCAGAGAACATTTCTCATTTCTGGATTTAGAGCCGAATCATCCTCCGAGTAAGTACATAAAAAATATTATTATATCAATTGTGTTTTATTTTAGTTAACATTAGTTTTAATTTGTGAAACCATTTACTTGAAATCAATTCTTATATCAAATTACTGAGTTATTTGAGTAATTGTAGTACGATCGCCATGTACTCGATATATTTACAGTATTTTAAAATTTCAATAAATCATCCTGTGATATTAAATATAAATTATGATATACATATAAAGTACGTATTTGTACCAATGTATGGCATTTAAAATTGTTTTACCGTTGTTATTTCAATACTTTCATCGAAGGGTCAAATTGACCCCTTACCGCCGTTCCAGTAGGTAAGATTTTCCCGCCGTTCTAGTGTTAATTATAATCTACCATTTCATAAAATTATATTTGTAATAAAATATACCGTTTATTATAAACATTCTTACAACCCTTTAATATACAGACATGTAAACAAAACAGTAAATACTCCCCTGGTAAGCTGTTGCCACTTACAAGGAAAAACTTAACTGTTTGTATTATGGGAAAAATTCCGACCACCTAAGGCAGACAAACGAGATATCTTGCATCGAATGTTTGGGAAAGTGGATTAAGCACTCCGTTAACCTTAAATGAAAAATTATTAAAGTAAATTATCAGCTAATCTTCTGACTTTGGAAGCCGACTTTTCATCCATGCAAAAACATGCCTATATTTCAAGGCCAACTAGATATCTAGTTGGCCTTGCTATATTTTCTCGGTAGGAACAATGCAAGAATGTTCGAAGGTCATAAACCCTTGCTATGACCATATATCAACATACAAAGTTGACGCAATTTACTAATTTAAACATAGCCATTGACATATGTTTAAGTATAATCGTGAAAAATAAAATACGTATATAAAGAACAGATTAAGTAATTATAACCTATATGGAAGACTGTCAGGAAAGAAAAACAAAATAAATAAATAAAATTTAAAAAAACAATAACTGTGCCCAAAGGGGCGTTTTTTAAAGTTTTGTGCGTTACCTTTATATTTTAAATATCATGTTATTCGTATTAAAACCATAAAATTCAATTCAACAGCAATATCACAAAATATTTTAATGAGTACATCTTTAGAATTTCAAATGCACAGTCTTCCGAGCGCTGGACATAAAATGATATCCCCCCCTCTCGTACAGTGTTGCTATTTGCGATTGTAGCAAATTGCTCGCTCTCAGATAGTGAAGTCGCTGGCACAAAAAACAGCGCTGAGATGAATCTTTTCTTCTCGAAAGTTAATAGTTTTTAATTTGACAAACAAATGGTTTATATTGTGGCCTTGGCTACTAATCCTTAAAATTAATTTATGATTAGGAACAGCATGAATTATAAACAAATAGCTAAGTTTATTGCATTTTATTTTCCAGCTATCGAAATGCGACGCTACGAGCAGCGTTTTGAACAAGGAGGTTAGAATAGAAGGAGGGAGGGTTCGCGGTTTCCTCCACTATCGGGGAATGAAACTCCGCCGAACAAGCGGCGTCCATGTTTGTGACTTCAAAACATTGCATTACGGCAGTGACATGTACGTGTTTCTAACCTGTTCCGTGCATTTATTTTCCAGTAAAAATATGTTAAATTTATAATGAAATCCCTCGCTATTGTTGAATTTTTGTTTTAAAGTAATAAAGATGATATCGATAATTTACTACATACAGCAAATTATTAAGAAATAGTTCGAAATCTAAATGCATGTGCATAACATTAAAGCCTTTAAAAAATGATGTTTCTGCATATTTCACGGACTTGCTTAAGTTAGAAAATAAATCTTAATAAACTAAAACAGATTTATGTGAATTCATTGATTTCAGTTTATGCGCATTTCATATTTATTAATCTCAAAGAAACTGCCTTTAATTAAGTTGAATTACAGAAATACACCTATACAAGTTTTTGGATACATCTTTCCACATGTTCAATTGTGTAAATATTTTACTTAATTTTATGACTATACTGCCCAGAAATTTGTAAGTTTATGCAAAAAATTTTTAACAACAGAACAGTTTATCTTAAAAAAATGAATAATAATTAATATATAAAGAAAAGCATTGCTTTATTTAACACCTTTACAATTAATAAAAATAGTAACAATTGATTTCTTACTTTTCATGAAAGTTATAAAAACGAATTAACTAAAACGTTCAAATTATACAATTTAAATCCTACCATATAGCATTGTATCTTAAGGAACGAAGATACCAGCTATAAACAGAAAAATTAAAATGTATAATATATTTGATTATAGTTATATTAAATAACCTATTTTAAGTCCTTTTTTTCACATCTGGAAAGAAAACCACATGACATTGGGATATTTTTTTGACATAGTTGTCATATTACATAAAAAAAAAAAAAGAAATTAATACTTACGTGTGAAAAATAATGCCCCGGAATTTTTTTCGAGAATCTATTTATGCATCCATATGCAATACAAAGCTGACATGCTTCAAAAAAAAGAAAAAAAATGTTGCAATGACAGACTTCCTTGCACAAGTCACGGTGATATCAGAAGATGGCCGCCAAGCTTCACCGTTTTGAGTTGAACCTTCCCTCCTTCTATTCTAACCTCCTTGGTTTTGAAACCAAAACCAAGCAATCATGAATCAAAACTAGTTGCCATTCAGCATAAAGAAACTTAAATATGAATATTAACAAAATATTAAAGTTAATTTTATAAAATAATTAAACACATGACCAAATATATGAAATAAAAAATAATTATTTCTCATGCAATAACTGGGCCACTACAATGTAAAAAAAATTCGAGTAATTATGCTCAAATTCTTTGCTTTTTCTGAATTAAAAAGTTAACCTATAATTAGCATAATATGTAACTGCACTTACCTTTTTTTAAACAAACACCAAAAAAATAAATATTGCATAAATTTCTATGATTGCAACAGTGGATACAAAATAAGGAGTAAGAAAGCTGTGGAACGCGTCTAACGTGCCGGCGTCTACTCATATATAAGCATCGGCATCACAGTTCAGTTCACCAGAAGGAAGAGGCTTCCAGACCTGGCATCACCATTAACACGGTTATATGGCCCTAACCCCTGGAGGCGACACTCCTCTTCGTCAACCCAGAGGGACTCAAATGTTTCACATAGCACAGTAAAAGCATACGAGCCATGGTGGACGGAAACGAATCCACTATAAGAGAAACAAAGTCACATAGTGAGATATCGAACGTGCCTCAGTGTTGACCAAGGGGAGTCCATCTTCCAAGGACAACCTTCGATGTCTGACCACCTACTGGTACTGTTTTGTCTACACTCACAACCATGGTACAGACAAGACCGTACCAGTACGGTCTCAGCCGAGCCTGAACATGCCACCGAATAAAAGATGGCTCTAGTCACTGTGAAGACAGTTTATTTACTCCAGAATTCGAGGCTGTCTAGATATTGATCTACCCAGTAAGCTGAGATGGTCCGTGCCAGTCGATCCCCAGGGATGGTCTTCTGAACATAGCCTAGGCGAATCTGGTTACCAGCCGAGGCAAGAGGAGGTTCATGTCGGAATAGGACAGCAAGAGGTTATATATGATGCGCTACGTATTATGTATTTAGTGTATTAAAGAACCTTGATATTGCGCGTCAGTGCCCTGTAGCTATATCCGTTCTCAGAAAATCCAGACCAAACTCTTGAGTCTCCTCCTATTAAATGGTCGATTCCGAATATATGATCTAACCCTTCCTCAAGGGAGCACAACTACGCCGGCAAAACATCGGTGTTACGTATTTTCGCGTTCCGACAGGCAGCGAGACGGACTACTTGTTTTAATGACTGCCCGGCGATTTTTTGACTCAACGCCGTCGTGAGCCGTACGACCCCGCATCTACTGACGGCACGGGTTTGTTTGCAATGAAGTTGTCTTCAATTCCAAATTTGGGTGGTTGATTACGTTATTCAAAATTTGATGACTCCAGGTACCGTTGTTTTATCAAAATGCGAGAAGCATACATACATTAATGCAGATTCTTCATTATTTAATTTCTTTACTTCTGGTATAAGAAACTTATACTTTTTATACATGTGTGTGCATAAAGCTCTTTGAGAGGCTAATAAAGATTTATGCTATTATGCACAATGAAAACTAGTAAGATTATATCTGATGCAATTTTACTCGACAAAAGACAGTCTAATTTAACACCTTGTAATCTATTCCAGAAATTAAAATGCTTATTGTTGAAACTATTCACTTTATACAATTGATTTCTTTTACTTACATTTCTAAATTTTTTAAAGGATTTTTGAATTTATAATATTCAGAACACTGCATCATTAAAATAAATTTCCTGTTCACATGACCTATGAGGAAAATGCATTATGAAATGTTCCTTTATGCATTTTGTATGTTTTACCTATTCAAAGTTATATGAATATAATAAAATGGGTGAATTTTATATTGAGTAGTTATTGAGAAAAGGTTCCATTTTAAAATTGCTTTAAAATTCAGCATAAGCTCTGTATCGTATAAATGAAAATTCCTAAAAGATTAATCAATCATACATAGAATTTTCCTTTTTGTTTCACATTTTCAAGTCAGTTTTGCTTCAATAATATTAATATTAATTCAGGAGTTTACTAATTTAAAAATGAACATGCTTACCTTTGAATGCATTGTAAGCTGAAATCTTGTCGTTTGGAATTCCAAATCTATTTGTTTCTCATTTCTCCTTTTTGTAGGAAAACTAAATACGACCAACTATGGGCTACTCTCATAATCTCCCTTGCATGTTGCAACACAACAATTGTGTTGGATAATAAATAAATAAAGTAATTAAAATGTAAAATATTCTTTTATCTGCAGACTGCATTTTCAAACAACAGTTGGTTCACTGCACTACCAGACCATGAGAAAGGTTCTAGCAAGTCTTTTGTGACATCAGAGCATTCAAGGAACCCTAGTGCTTTGGCTTTACATGTAGGTGGTATTGACTGGTTGAATGACCTGCCTTCCTGAAGAATGATCCAAACGTAGACAATGATTATTGATTCAGTTTAGTAACCTGCTTTGCTGAAAGAAAAGTCTGTGTTACCCTAGATCAGCATTTCTTAAACTGTAGGTCATGACTCCAGGGGGGTGACGCAACCTGCAGCAGGGGGTCACTAAAAATTTAGCAGTTTTGATATTTAACTTATTATAATAATTTTACAATTACCAAATATTTTTTCACAATGTATCTGAAAATAGATAAAGATAAGACAATACAGACAAGGAAACGTTTCAACGCATTCTTTTTATAATAGAAACGTTCATTTTATTTGCTTTGCATGTGGCGCTGTCATTTCGTCTATTACTTATTTAAAATTTTCACATTGTTCTATATCTTAAAACTAAAAATTAAAGTTAATGACCTAAAACTGCAATAGGATATTACAGTGCAAGTGAAAAATTTGACAGTTTCACACACGC